ACAAATTGAAGTAAACAACTTGTATTAACCTTCTTTCCATAGTCCAAAACTCAAATTATTATCACTTACTAATATCTTAAATTCTCAACTAACTGCGTTACTACTTTATATATCAGTCTCTCTCTTAAAGTTAAAGCTTGGTGCAGTCAGTTGGGGCAAAAGAAACAGTCCTCTTGCCAAGATTAAACCCAACAAGGTGGTTTATCTGAGCCATGTTCCCAAAAATACCTACACCACCCCATGCCACAAATGGCGAAACACGCCAAATCTTCCTCCAACCTAGCAAACGTGTTATACAGCTGCAACACAACGTCAGAACAAGTGAAATGAAATGTCAACACCGGTAGTTCAATGTCGCGACCCTCGTAGCAGGGGCTCAGAATCTGTTTCGGGTCACTCCCACGTTCCGCATCGATGACTTCATCCACAGCAAACTCCAGTTTGTTGTAGAACTTTCTTATCCAGTAAGGTCAAGGTTGTCCCTGAGTCCAAGATCAGATCATGTGACTTCATCGAGCTGGAGGTGTATGGTAGCCGCTTGTCGCCAACGCTAACGGCCTCCAGTGTTATGAAGTAGAATGTCGAAGGTTCTTTCTTGACTAAAGGAGTCGAAACGAAGCCAGGAGAGGAAATCCTGCCTCTTGGAAAAGCATCCTTCTTTCACCCCGATTAGTTTAAGATTGCTTTTAGTCTTAAGCTTTGTATATTTATAAATTAGTTTGAGCTTTGGGGATTTTTTTGCTGCACTCAAAGTGGTCCGGTGGGTTGTCATATCTTGGGAGAGGAGCACATTCATCAAATTTCCAGCGTTCTAAACCTCCTTTCTTCTAAATTGACTCCGGTTCTAGTATTGTTTATTTATCTGTAATTATTTCATTTGCATTGTTGATTTGCTGTACACTTTCTTTGTTATAATATTTTTTGGTTTCAAGGCTAGTATTTTCTAATAGAGAATGCACATGGTGGTAAATTTATGGTAATAATTAATTAATTAATTAATTAATTAATAATTATGAATGCACCTACCCAAAGGGAGTTGAATGGTTCTTAATTTGCCATTACAATTGTCAAGGAGATGAAACCTGTGGTTTCTCCTCTAGAGATTTAATTATTAGTATAACAGCAATGGTTTCTAACATAGGACTAATGTATGGATGGATGTGGCTGTTCTTCAGTTTACATCTGTTGATCAAGAATTAAGTGCGCTTTAATGCAATCCACGATTTGAACAGAGAAACAGAACATGCAAAAAAGAAACAGAAAGCTATCGGATTCTGTGTTTCAAAATAAAACACCAAAATACTCCATACATGGACTTCTCAGATGAAATTCTGATCCATGTTGATAAGATTTTAACAGACAAATTGAGCTATGTCATGATAAGCAAACTAAGCACTTTACTCTATGCAAGGAGAAGACTTAGAAAGATTACAATGAATATCTAAATGAAACAAAAATTCAACAAAAGAAATGGTTTCACCAAACTGACGTAAAGAACAGAAATGTTTTGTGCAGTCTGACCTTTGCTGAACTGCATAAAATTAATCATTGGATAGGCTGAGGCCCCTTGAATGTGGGGCTTTCCCCCAATGCAATGATCCTTTTTTGCAATCCAGACCTACAAAGAAATAGATACTGAGAAAAATCAGTGTAATAACTGCTTGATATTTGAAAGAAATCAGTGTAAAACTATGCATATCTGGATGCATTTGAAGCTTTGGTAACATAGACAAACTAAAATTCACTCAATAAATCTCCCAGCAAAAAATTATATTGATTCACATAGCAACCAAGAAAACAATCTTAGCATATATGTAACATGGAAATAAAAGAACAAATGGTAGTATTATTCCCAAAACTAAGGCTCTTTATACTTGCATATAATTTGAGGATATAGAAAAAAATCCAAAATTACCCAACTTATTTTCCATTGTCGTCATCACTTAACTCATCTCCAATGGCATGAAAACTCATCCTTGAAGATGCCTGCTTTGCCAATTTTACCATCTTTGCTGCTTCCCGGCTAAGCTTCTGCTGCTCCTTCAATGCTTTCTTCAGTATCTTTCGCTGTTCTTGCACTGAAAAAGCACTCATATCCGATAGAAATTCATCGCATTTTTCCCAGTCGAGGTCACTGCCGAGCTCTTTGGTTTCCTTACTCTTTTTCTTAGAAGAAACCTTCTTTGGAGAACACCAAAAGCAGCCACTTTTACGAGGCGGAGAAGGCGAGTCAGGCCTCGAATTAGATGAAGAACCCACTGGAGAAGAAATTGACCTAGATTTGGGTTTCCTTTTCGATCCAGACCGATCTCTCTCTTTTGGGTTTTGTTTGGGAGGCGAGAAAACCGCATCCTCTAGACAAGAATCAGAAGAATTTGAGGGAGAAGAAAGAGACCCATGCTTATTTTTCCCCTTCAAACCCTTTTCACCAACTGGGTTTTGCTTGTAATCCGGGGAAATTACACCTTCCTCATCAGAGAAGGAGCTAGACTGTGTTTTGTCCTTCTCTGATTTTTTCTCCAAAGCTGTATTCCCACATGGCCCCTGTTTGGAAGGAGAGAAATTTATGTTTCCCCCAGCACCAAAATACTCCGATTTGCCAAGCTCGCTCTTTGAGTGATGCAGAGCCTTGCTGTTACTCGTGTTTTCTGACGATTTGAGGCCAGGTTTAGCAACAGGAAAGGATTTCAGCCGTCGGAATCGAGACTCTAAATCGGTGGGAAGAACAGAGTCGGTGAAGGAAGAGCAATTGATAGCAGAGATTTGCTCGAGAACGCAGAGATCTTGTGCTTGTGAGATGAGTTCTTCTACCGCCGATTCGTCTGTATCAGATAAGAACCCAAAATCTGCCATTTTTGACTGTGGAAAAGATCAGATTGAAGATTTACAGTGTCAAAGGTGGGATTTTTTGAAGGAGAACTAGAGTGCTGCCATAGGATTCTTTGATTGGGATTTGGGAAGCAACGGCTAATTCATGCTTTTGACGTTATGAAGGAATGGACTATGGAATGCGGCTGGCTGTTACAACGTTCTTCCTAGACCAAAAGAATAATGATATTTAAATGGCTTTTTTCTTTTATTTTAGGGTAAAAGTTTATGACTTTTATTGTTTCTCTTGAATAGGTACTACTAATTACTCTTTTTGGTCAATCTTTTACATTTATTGAGCATCAAAAATACTGATATTGCGT